GCCTCACTGACACAAGTGACTCTGTCACATGGTTTTCACCTCATGGTGAACAGACAATGTTTTAATTCGTAATTAATTCCAGATTTATAGAGAGAATGTATTAGAATTTTGCCATCACTCATTACTTGATCAAAAGAAGTCTAGGGATGTTTAGACGACAAGATTGCTGATCTGAGGAATCTTCACCGAGACAAAGAGCACAGGGCAGATTCAAAATGATAATCATGCTCTCTACATATGTTTAACAACGCTTAACTTTGAGCTTACCTTTATCCAAACTCCAGCTAAGCCTTTCTTCATTGCATTTTAAGAACCTACTTGATCCTAGAAGATATGTGAGTGTAAATTCGAACCAGCATGAGTCTAATATATTACTTAGAATGTTATTAAAGGATGAAGTCTGTGTTGTTTCTCAGGTAATTTAAAGAAATTCAACTCTAAGAAAATGAAATCATCTGACAGGCCAAGCAGAAACCTGCAAGATCTCCCACCACAAGCTTCTCTGGAGGAGATCAAACAGAGAAAAGTCTTGGACCTCCGTAGATGGTAATCCACTCATTGGAAAGCGAAATGAGACTCAGAGTGCAAGTTTAAAAACCTTTTGCATTAACAACTGTTCCCTCCGACATTCTAGGTACTGCATCAGCCGCCCCCAATATAAAACATCATGTGGAATCTCCTCACTTGTCTCTTGTTGGAACTTTCTCTACAGTACTTTAGGTGCAGGCAGGTCTGTGTGTTCCTTGCTGAAATGGATGACCACATTTTTTATTTGATGACAATATTTCAGATTTGACAAATTCTCAAATAGGGCTCTGCTGGTTTAATGCATGGGACTTGCCAAAACTGTTCAGAAATATACTAAGAAATGGGTATTTTTAGGAGCAAAAACAGCATTTGATCTATTTTAAGATTTCTAATCTGGTCTGGTAGAAATTGCAAAGAGTAAACTTTAGGATTTATTTATTTTTCAGTCTCCCACCTATGTCTCAAGAAGAAGCCCTGCACATACTTGATTTCCAGCCTCCATTTGAAGATATCAAGTTTGGACCATTCACCGGCAATGCCACTTTGATGCGGTAAGATTGCTGTATTTATTGCTCTTTAAAGCAGCACTATGTAACTTTTGGCGCTCTAGCGGTTAATAAACAGAACTGCACACATCCCGCGGAAGAACATTCCAACCGGAGCTACTTCTCTAAGTTTATGTCTATGGTGATTCACGCAGGTATGTGTTACTCCGCAGCGGTGACGACCCGACCAGGCTAATAGTCCAAATATAAGTACTTATTATAAGTGTAACGTAGTGATTCGGAACAAGACAAAAACGGTTTGGAAGATGAATTCATGATGTACTCGCTCATTATATACATTTAGCAAATTTTGAACACAGAAAAAGTTACATAGTGCTGCTTTAACAGTTTCTCAAAATGTGTTCAAATTCATTAATACATACATTACCGTTAAAAGGTTTGGATCTTGAAAGATGTCACCTATGCTCACAAAATTTGCATTTATTTGATCAAAATAAGGCAAAACAATAATGTTTTGAAATATAAGTACAATTCATAATAACTGTATTCTATTAAAAAAAAGTTTTTATTCCTGTGATGGCAAAGCTGGATTTTCAGCAGCAACTCCAGTCTTCAGAAATCATTCTAATATGCTGATGTGGTTCCTAAAAACATTTCTTAATATTATCAATAATAAGAAGAGTTGTGTTGCTTAATATTGTTGTGGAAACAGTGATATATTTTTTTCAGAATTATTGAATGAATAGAAAGTTCAAAAGAACAGCATTTAAGTAGTATTTTGACACATTTGATTAATTTAATGCATGCTTGTTGAATAAAAGTATTATTTTGTTTAAAAAAAATCTTACTGACCCCAAAGGTTTGATTTGTATTGTACATGATCTATTTTTATTTTGTTGCAGATGGTTCAGACAAATCAACGATCATTTTCGTGTCCGGGGTTGCTCTTACATTCTGTACAAACCTCATGGGAAGCACAAGACAGCAGGAGAGACAGGTGTGTGAATTTTGAATTCGAGTCTCCAACTGCATATTATTCTACAAATATACTTTTGATGAATGTGTTGAGCAGACAGTATTATAGCTTTCTTTCAGATATAGTTATTGATATTGATATAGATATTGTCAGAAAGTACTTTAGCAGCATGTTGTAGAGCATGTTCCTTCATTCTAGCTGCGGGGGCGCTGCTGAAGCTGACACAGGGACTTAAAGATGAATCCATGGCCTACATTTACCACTGTCAGAATCACTACTTCTGTCCTGTGGGCTATGAAGCCACACCACTAAAGGCAGCCAAAGCATACAGGTATAATGTACAGCAACTTTGGCTTTCATTTACTGCTTCATTAGTTCAAGTTAGGTTGTTATTGTTGAAAGAAAAAAAATAAAATCAGTTAATTTGCACTACCAAAACATACATTTCATTTTTAGCAGTGAACTTTTATGTGTGCCAGAAAAGATGTTTCTATTGTTTTCTTTTTTCCTTTGTGTCCATTAAATGTAAAGTTTTTATGATGTGTATGTTTTAACATCACAGAATGCCAAATATTTTTCAGTGCAAACACACACATGTACACTATCGTTCAAAAGTTTGGGCTCTGTTTTCTTTTTTCTTTTTTTTTTAAGAAGTTATTTATTAAGGATGCATTAAATCGATCAAACATGGCAGTAAATATATTTATAATGTTACAAAAGATTTCTATTTCAAACAAATGCAAATGTCAAAGCATAGTAGAATGATTTCTGCAGGATGAAACTGAAGACTTTGCATCACAGGAAGCTACATTTTAAATGATATTTAAAATAAAAAGTTATTTACAATTTTGTATTCATACAATTTTGTAATATTTCACAATATTACTTTTTGTACTGCATGTTTTGATCAGATAAATGGAGCCTTGGTGAGCATTTAGAACCTAAAAGGGCAAGTGTCAAACAGCCCAAAGATCTCTCGCACAGCACCAGTATTATTACATTATGAAAAGTCATGCAAATGTAGAGGAAAACTATTAACTTCTACCACTTTTATAAGACCCTGTTCCTCTAATCAAGAATGATGCTCATTTCTTTCTTTCTTTCTTTTTATAGGGGGCCACTGGCACTTAATGAGATGGAGCACTGGATACTTATTGGTGAACCAAGCAGGAAACACCCTGCAATCCACTGTAAAAAGTATGGTTAATTTTTATGGAATAGTATTCCTCGGTGAAGTTATAAATATATATCATGACGCTCAAATTCTGACCTTTTTTTACTATCAGATGGGCAGATATTGTGACAGATCTGAACACTCAGAACCCAGAATACTTAGACATTCGCCACATAGAGAGAGGCATTCAGTATCGCAAAACCAAAAAGGTAAGAAACTTCAGGACTATGGTGATGGTGCTTCTACAATAATCTGAATATTATAAAGAATTATGTGTCTAGGAAAGAGTCTGAATGTATGCTGTGAAGTATTGAAGCCCTGCATAATTCCTGATATCTTCATAGGTTGGAGGCAATCTGCATTGCATCATGGCCTTCCAGAGAGTCAACTGGCAAAAGTTGGGACCGTGGGCACTGAATTTGGAAAATCTGAGGCATGATCTCCACCATCAGGTGCCAGAACACAGAGGTCAAGCTGCGACAGAGGACGGTTCTGAGGAGCGAGCGATGAAACGCCTGGGTAGGTCCCTCAGTACGGGGAACAAGTCTGACAATGCCTGGAAGCGTTTGTCCAACACAGCAGAGTACAGGCACAGAAGCTCTCCAGACAGTGACCTAGATGAAGACACAACTGACTAAATCTAAAGTGTCCAACCCTCCTCCTAAAGAGCCCATTGGGTTTTCAACCGTTTTAAACAAGAATATTTACCTTCCCAGGTTGTTCGCAACAGTGAAAAGTTAGAATTACATATCATAGATGAAGTTGCAAGCCAAATGGTGTGGTTAATGCTCTGGTAACCATAAGGAAGAAGCCATAAGCTTTTGTGGAGGACATCCCTGTAATGCCACTATTTTACAGCTATGTAAAACAAATTCCACAGCCCTCAGAAATGTGCCGTTAAATTAAGTTTAAAAATACTTCACAATGGCTCTCTCGCCAAGACGTTGAGTCACCTCCTGTAGGTCAAAATGCTGCTTTCTTTAAACTTATTGTGGATAAATTAATCATTAAATAAATGTGCAGTTAACTGCACTAAAGGTGTGGTCACATGTACCATTGTTATGCAGGTGAAATCCAGCAATTTCAATAGGAATCCACACAATCTGGAATTTCATGTAATGGTGAAAGATTTGCCCGGTTTTTACAGTTGGTCACACCATGTTGACAAACAGAAAGCTGCTTGGTTTGAAAGTGATAGTGCTTAATATATTGCTACACTATACACAGTGGACAATTTGTGACTGCACCTTAAGTGTACCAAGAACATGAAGCGAATATTTGATTTTCAGATCAATAGCATCATTCCATTTGAGTTATATGCTATTTGGTGGATTTATATGCTATTGATGGTAGATCATTGGAGTGAAGTATGGACTGAAAAATTATTAATTTGCATAATGTGCTCGCAGAAAACTCAACACTACATACAAGACTGTTTTTCATGAAGACTAGTTCTACTATTGCATAAACAAAAATGGCTTTATTAGTGTAAGTATAAAAAATACAAACGAAGTGAAGGTCATCATAAAGATATCAGACTGTTTAATGATGTGACCATTTAATGGATCAGATTCTGGTTATCATTAAGTGACATAGTCCAATAAGATGGTGCCATCTTGTTGTAAATAGCAACTTGAAGGATTACACTCCCGTTCTTTGTGAAACGCTGTGAGCTAAGATTGCATGATTGCTTCCATGTCATGTGAATTGTTTTTCCTTTAATTAACACAGCAGCATCTTGTGTATAATGTTAAAGTCATCACAAATCTCATACTCATGTGAATCTAGTGTATTATTATTGTATTATTTTTATTTATAAATAAAATATTTATACACCTTCTTACACATCACTGCATTATTTCAGAATAACCTAAATGATGTCATGTTGATTCATGAGTCACGGCTAGGCATGTAGTTGTTGTTTCAGCTCAGTTATATCAGCAGGACCAACACGGCAGCAGCCACCTGTTGACAGAAATCAGCTATGTGTGAGTCAGCGCAACAGGAAAGAACAAGTCATAGTATACGTTTTACAGTAAAGCTTATTTACTGGTACAAAAAAATACCAACCAATCCACAAAGCCCCTTGTTCTTTCCAGTCGAGACTTAGTTTGGCAAATGACGTCCTTTTCTCGGTTTTCCATCTGAAATAGCCACAAAACAGCCACTTACATAATGAAACTATTGAGACAAATTGTCAATTATGATCAAAGTAAATAAGTTCTGGGTAAAGTAAATAAGTTCTGGGTTCCCACGTTTTACCAATCAGTTTCCATGATTTTGCAGCCATTTGTGGTTATTGGATTATGTTTGTTTCTTTTACACTATCATTTATTTTAAGTCTCTTATGCACGCCAAGGCTGCATTTATATAAAAAAAAACACTAATATTGTAATATAAAAAAAAACACTAATATTGTAAAATATTATTACAATTTTAAACAACTGTTATCTGTTTTATTATATCATAAATGTTATTTATTCATATGGTAAAGCTGAATTTTTTTAGCAGCCATTACTCCAGTGTTCATTGTCACATGATCCTTCAGAAATCATTCTAATATGCTGATTTGATGCTCAAGAAATATTTCTTATCAATGTTGAAAACAGTAAGTAAATTAAAATTTTTTATATAGCACATTTCAAGACATAAAAATATAAATATATTCATAAAATACTAAAAAGATCAATGCTTGTGCTGATTAATATTTTTGTGGAATCCATGATACTTTTTTAGGATTCTTTGATGAATAGGAAGTTCAAAAGAACAGCCTTGATTTGAAATTGTATTTATTTTGATAAATAAATGTATTTAAAAAAAATCTAACTGATCCCAAACTTTTGTCAAAAAAAGAGAGATGGAGCAAAGAGCAATTATCTAAGATAGGGGATTTCTGTGATGAAATAATAAAATATAAATGTCCATGTTTTTTTTTCCATCCACGTCAGGAAAATGTCATTTTTCAATGGAAACAAAACCAATGGCAATAATAACTTTCTATTCTAACTTACTGATTAACCTTACCCTGTCTTGGGGTCCCATCCTTCTCCACTATTAGGGTAGACCACCCAGCGCAAATCTGCTTTCTTGTGTGACTTGGCTGACTCTAGAAGCGGTTTCACTATCGGAGCGGGACAGCAGTTCACCCCCACTGCAACCAGCTGTGAGGACCTACAAGCCACCTGAACCGCCTCAGAAAATCTCCTCCCGCTTGAAATATTATGAATGTCCTGAAACGCATTAATTGCATTAATAGCAATGTCTAACTCATTTGTTTTAATCAGAGCATAAACAGTTGCAAGTGTTTTATGAATGAAATTTGTTGCTAGATATCATGACATGTAATGCAGTGTATATCCATTAATATCAGTCACCTTACAAGAAAAGGAAAGCCAGGCTTTAGCTTCTGGAAATTCTCTGAGTACTTCCACCAAAGCCTCCGCCTCTTTGAGACCTGGAATGGTCTCCATGGCAACAAGATCAGCGCCGGCTTTTACTAAGCACTGGATCTGTGGACGATGCCAGTCTTTCAGCTCCTAAGACAAAAGAGAAAACATGCACTTGGAATTCTAATGTGATGGCAGATTTGGTGGACCAAGAGTTTCAGCCTGCATTACCTCCATTGTCATCTTGTCCTCATAGGCCCCTGTATACTCAGATCCATCATGTAAAAATGCCCCATATGGTCCCACTGAACCCGCAACCACAGGCTCTCTCCGGTCTTCTTGGGGAATTTTTCATGTTAGTTTAAATTGTAGCTGGTGTCTCTACCTTTTCTCCAGAAACTAGACAGAATTCATGATTTAGTAGGCTTGCACACACCTGATATGGGTGAGTGAGACATGAACTCACGGACTGTCTCTTTTGCCAGCTGAACCCCTGACATTATCATCTGCTGAGCCTCCTCAGGCCGGAGACCAAGATATTTCACAAATCCCTCAATGCTGGCTTGATATGTGGCAGTTGTTATTACATCAGAACCGCTTTGAAGATATCTATTAAAACAAGTCAAATTAATCATTCATTAAATATTAAATAGTTCTTAGAAGTCATAGAAGAGGCATACAGAAATACTAAATGACTGATAGGATGGAGAATTTAGGTTCAAAATGATAAAATTTTCATACATGTAAGAAGCTATTACAGTAAAAACAGTAATATTGTGAAATATACAAATGTCTTTGCTGCATTACGTTTAACACTTTTTAGCCTTTTGTTGTTGTTTTTCACTTAAATATGTAGCCGACAAATCCATCTTTTTAAATGTAATATATACTGTATATATATATATATATACATAAAAAAACTTAATATAATTATATAATTGTAATATATAATTATATATATAATACAGAAATTATTAAAAGAAATATTCACAAATAATTTACATCAAGTAAACACTTCACTTACACTTACACTTCAGGCATTGCTTGACAGCTCAGGTACAGAACATAATAATGAAGCCTGTAATTACCTGAAATGTACGTCCTTAATGGCCTGTGGGTTTGTATGCAAAATTCTTGCACTCCATAGTGGATCTCCCTGCAAATACAATATATGCGTGATTAAACTTGTGATTGTTAACAATAAGTTTGTGTAATAGTACCTACCTGTAACTGAAATCCACTTGCTTCAAGTTCTGTTGCCAGACCTCCATCTAGAATGAACGGACTGGTATCCATTTTGACAGATGTGGTTCGTGGAAATACCTTTGAAGTGTAAACCTCAACTAAACATTAAATCACTTTTGAAATATAGCCAAAAGACCTTTGTCTCACATTGTCGCAGATTTGCAACTTTTTAAGCTAACCCTAAATTTAGAAGCACGCTAAATTGTAGCCAATTGCTTAACAGTTCTGGTAAGCAGCCATGCATAACATTGAAGCGAAGCCAGTGTCAAAGTCCACACATAACAACAAACCATAGACTGTAAAAAACAACAACAAACTCATGTGCGAGTGGCATTTGGCGGTAAAGGTCAGAAACTACTACTTCCGGGTTACAGTAAGACTCATATAAGCAAAGTATTGGCTCCCTAAACGTCTGTTTACTCACCAGACTCACCGAAAAGCAACTGAATGTTAAAAACCTACGGAATATAGTTAGGAGTTCACAGGAGGTATGGCTTATTATTTTATTTGGCGGTAGCCCGTTTGATGTTGTTGCTATGGTGATGGCACTTCACAGCGAGGCTAAAGGAAGACAATCAACCGTCTGTTAAACAACAATCAACAAATATTATCATTCCTTTAAAGAAATCAGACATGGTAAGTGGGAGAGTATGTTTTTTCCAGTCTTTAGATATTAGTAATAAAGGACTGAAGTCATATGATCATGAATGTTTGTTGTGGTTTTGGCGGAAGTCGTTTGCTTTTTAAAAATATGTTGTTGTTTTTTTCTCTGAAAGAAACGCAAGTCACATAAACCATTGAGATTGTATGTGTTGTGTGCACTAAATATAAAATACCATATGTACATTCTCATGTATACATCTCATGTAAACTGTAATAGAGCGATGCATTAAGTCATAGCCAATGGACACGAATCTTGGCTATTTAAATCCTAGTTCAATCAATGAAGACAATTCATAATCAGTTACAAAGCAAAACAGTTTTGTAACTGCATCATTTGTAAACTAATTTTCAACGTTCTTGGTGCTCTGAATGCTCTCATTTTGTCTACCACTAGATGTCAGTATTTGCCTCCTTAATTGTTCTTCGAGAAACAACAAGTTTTCAAAAGAAAGCCCAGACTTCGTTTCACTGACTGAATGTAGTTTTGGCAGGTTTCAGAAAGCTGTTTAACTGTTTTCCAACTGTATTTGAAAACTAGCTGTCTGGCTTCAGGCTCTACAACACCATACTGAAGATGGAGGATGCCATTTTCCACTGAAATTCATTGAAATTATAGATCCAGTTCAGCCAGAAGCTTTAATGTCATTAAGTGGAATAATATGCTTTTTTAGTGTCATTAGCTCAACAATCTAAACCTTGTTATTCTGTGGGTAACAGGATACTTTCGCCATCACCTTCTTGCTCTGTTGTACTCCTACGCTATGTTTATTTTCCAATTCACTTTCTGTCTCCTCAAGTAGTGTACATTGATCCATCTCCATGCAGACAGCATGAATTGTTTGCAGTGATAGCATAGGGCAACAGCAGGTGTCTGAGAAAGTCTCAGCTTCCAAGAAGGGCTCTGAGAGGAAAGCCCTATTTTTCAGAGAGTTAGAGGTGGCAGATAAGCCCAGCTATTTCCAGTTCGATCTGGCCAGGATCATTAACCGGGAGTCTGTGATTTTGTTGTGCTGGAATGTTCATTTAGAGCCCCCTCAAAGCTCCTTGATTTCTGCTTTCATTCCATTCAGATGACAAAACAAAACAAAAAAACTGGTTTTTATGATGCTTTCCCTTAAGAACAACAGATAGGCAGCACTTTGCGCTGCTAATATTGGAGAAAAAACCTTCTATATTTCTTCTTAGACGTACAGATGTCCTCAGGTAACTTTGGCCCCCAGCAGAATGTGGAAATATAGCTCTCATTTTGCACAAAGCTGTCTGTCACATGCTGTAGGGGGTGACTACCTGCCGAAACACACTCTTTCAGACTGGAAAAAAGCCACCAAACACCGCAGTAGTCTTGATCATGAAAATGTAGGCTAGTGTTTTAATATTATTAGTTGTGTCTGTGTCATATTCTAGTTACAAATATGCACTGCACCGCACTGCAAAAAAATGATTTTAGTACAAATGATTTTTGTCTTGTTTTCCACTATAAATGTCTAAGCACTATTAAATTAAGATACATTTACTTGAGAAGCAAATTGACTTGAGATATTAAGTCGTTTTCTGATATGAGTTTATACTTTGCATCAAAAGTAATGCTTAAAACGAGAAAAAAATATCTGTCAGTGGGGTAAGAAAAATAAACTTAATTCAAGATTATTTTTCTTACCCCATTGATATTTTTTCTCGTTTTAAGCATAAACTTGGATACATTTTTTAGAAAACAAGTCTTAATATTACTTTTTTCCAAACAACATTTTACAAAACAAAAAAAGAAAGAAACCTTAAGTAATTTTCCTTAAAGTAAATGTATATTGATTTAAAAAAAAACATACAGTAATAGAAAAAGAAAGACAAACATCCTAAGTAACAATCAATATTTTCAGTATGCAAATTGTTTACTGTTTAGTGCTTTGGGGAAAAAAATGTTTTGCCAGTCTTCACATTTATTTTTACCTATCGCTGACTGGTGTAAGGCCTCAAGGAGGTGATCATAACTACTGGTGTCAGTACAGCACCTGGAACTTTTAGCTTGTTTGGCACAAGACTTCAGTATGGAAATCCTAATGTGACACTACTAGAGCCTCCAGATGTGATTTATGGCTTTTCAGACCTGTGCTTCAGCATATTTGTATAAAGAAGGCTGTTCATTGTCAATATTATCTCTGTTACAGCTGATTGAGGGGTAAAAATAGCCTGTGTAGGCCCTGGAAGAGGCCCTGTTAGATTCAAGGTAGCTCAATTACGTTAAAGGGATTCTCACTGAGTCTGTACGGTTTGATGAGTGAAAGAATTTGTGTTATGTTGCAGATACACTAATGATCTGTTGTTAAATTAGTTAGGATAATGTGATGTCATGTTTGGGCTCAGTGTTGACATCTTGCCTCTATCAATTAGCGAGCAAGTGGCCTGGAGGATGGATGGCATATTGGCTAGAAATGCAACATGATTAAAGCACTGCCTACTGATGATGATTATCTGCCAGTTATTATGTCAGTTATTATGAATATGCATAAGTCTTATGAGTATATTTGCTTGACTTTGGATGTCCACTAATCAACAGAAAATTAGCAGATAACTTCTCAGATAATTTAATGGGCTCAGTTATATGCCCCTGAATCACAGCCTGTGCTATGAATTTCACCCACAAGGTGGCAATCTGCATGGAACAGAGATCACACCAACATGCTCACTCCATGTTTTGTTCAAGGGCACCTCTGAGTTGGTGTCAAGGTGAAATCAGCCACTTAATAGTGAAACAACAGTAAAACGCACAGAGATTTTGATGTAGTCTGTATAAAATACTCATGGAATCTTGGCTATGACTAGGCCTAATACTTATTTTTATGAAAGTGGCAATATCCTGAGGGTCCTACTTTAGAACAATTTGAATTATTTTTTTTTTTAAAGATTTACAGTTCCTCTGTCAGTGAATATGTTATTAAATATTTATCACATGCATTTGTATTCAAAGCATATATATATATATATATATATATATATATATATATATGTGTGTGTGTAATTCTAATGTCATATGCACTATTCTATGTCGTTATTTTGTTTTGCAAACGTTACTGGATACAAAAAAACTCCACTAATTGTTCCATTACTATTGAAGAGAGCTTTTATTGCTTGTCACTTTTTCACTTTGTGTAGGATTAGGACATTGTGTTAGGGTATTTGGTTATTTTCTTGTGTTTTTAATTATTTTTTTAGTTAACAGGGCTCCAGACTGCGACCGAGCTCAAACTTGTCCGAGCTCAGAACAGCTTTACTCGGGAGCCAAAGTTGATTTCCTGCACAGATGCAACAGGGCTGCGAGATCCAGTGAGAAGCGTTTGAATTCGCCGCACAATGATAAGGTTGCTGGCTGCGAGATCTTGTGAGAATCATTCCAATTCTGCACAGAATTCTCTGTTATAAACTGCGCTGACATACGTCAGGAAACCAGAAGCGGTAACGCTAACTGTAACCTAACCCTGGTGTTGTGGTAGAAATAATCAAATGCATTACATCATTCTTTTCAGGGTTTGTACATCCTTTTGAGAGAGAAATTCAAGCACTTTTCAATTACTTTCAAGCATTTCACACAACTATTTCCAGCACTTTAAAGCTCTAAAATTATCCAGTTTGAATGTTATTTTTAATGGGATGACCAAAATATACTTTGTGGTAAACGCTTATGTAAAATAAAAAAAAAAAAAGACATCAAATCACAATTATAACCAGTAGACGGCAGCAGAGGAGCATTTATTGGCTTATTAGTCATTTATTTCTACTTTTTCTCTATATTTTGAAATGATAAAATCACTATTATAAAATATCAAATCATCAAGAAATCAGATTTTGTCAGAATTTTACACTTTTCTGTGTACAACTTAGTGGTGCTGGTGCCACTGCTCTCAAATGTTAGTCTGGAGCCCTGTAGTAGTAAAAATATAAAGGGACATTCTAAAAACTCTTGGAATTTGATCTCCCCCAGGCCCCGTGAGTAGGCTATAGCATAAAGGCACCTCCTCATCATAGGGCCACACACAACATTTCCGGGTTGCCCCTCTAATGACGACTCTATGAATTTAAAATGTATTATCTGAAGTCTATTGATCTATTGATAGTTTCTATATTTGTGCAGCCCTAATGTTTGCATGAGTGTGTAGTGCACTGTTTCAGGAGCAGTAGCTCCAGCAGCTGGATAATGGCTCCCCATTTGCAGCGGAGCTCCCCAGGGGACCAAAGGGCTGATTCAAGATCTGAACCTCTGACTCAGCTTGTTAACAGGCCCAGCTGTCCGTCTGTCCTGAGGGTCAAAGCGCGGCTGTTGTGACTCCCTGTCCAAGCATGAGGGTCAGATCAGTGACATTCCCCTGCCGTGCCTGGCTTGATTGTGTGTTGTGTTATGCACAGGATGAGCGCTTTGCCTTTCTGGCTGAGTGGTACGACCCCAGTGCTGCTCTCCTGCGACGATACCAGCTGCTCTACTACCCTAAAGATGGCTCTGTGGAGATGGTGCGTTCCTATACTCAGATTTCAGACCCTGACTTCCAGCTATGTTTGAGATTTGTCCATTCACACGCATGCTTCTCTTCATATAGTTTGATATGAAGAACCAGCGCACCTTTCTACGGAGGACCAAGTTTGATGAGATTCATCCAGAGGATCTGTTTGTTGGCAACCGAGTAAACGTCTTTTCCCGTCAGCTGAACCTCA